GCCGTTGATGGCAATCACAAAATGACGTGTTATTGAAAGCAAATCAATGAGAATGCTGTTAAATGAGCGATTCAGACAGAAGTGACCTGAAGTTACCTTTTACTATGTGGTTCATTTTAATCATCGTGGGTATCAGGGCCACGTCTATGAAATAGCTGTTTTCCCATTCCCCCCTCCTGCATGTTTCCCTGTCGCCGAGGTGTATCCACGGATACCCCGGCCACCGGAATACAAATACAACCAAGACACTCACGGCCCCATTACCATGCACACTCACAAAACGCACACAAAGATCCTAAATTGCGCTGTCTTCTCTCCTACTCCACTGTCTCTCACACTATTCCCCTTCGTTAACGGTTTCCTCGTTTCAGCAGTCACAGGGGACTATTTGTTCCGTCTTGATAAACGGGGCGGTGGGGAAGCTTTCATCCATTTGCTCTTCAAAGATTATGCATAATTTACAGAGCACATTATGGGCATTTAAGCTGTCGAGCGCTGCTTGTCGTTCACCTTTTGCCTGCTCCTCCCATAAGTCAGCGGGGGGGTGTATCCGCAAACTGCTGTAGTTTGATATGGTTGCACACTGTACTTATTTCTGCATTTGTGTCTCAACCCATCAGTCCGGTTTTAGCTGGTGTGTGTGTGTGTGTGTGTGAGTGTGTGCGCGCGCTGAGGGTGGGTGGTGCCCTTGGACTGCTTTTAAAACCCCCCAGAGAGGGGTTGATGAAAGGACTCCCAGCAGGTGCTCTTGGCCACAAAACACAATGGTGAAAAAGCTTCTGGCCGAAGAGGTGAAAAGAGGTGCCAGAAGGGTGGAGGGTGAAGGGCAGAGGGTGGGTGCTGGTTGGTGCTGGTGGAGGCGGTGGTGGTGTGGTCAGGTTTCGGGGGCCAGCAGTGTGCGGGCACAGCTTTTTGGTGGCGGCGAACAAAGCAGACCTCTTCATAGCCGTCCAGAGATGCAAATTGCTCTTCATCAGAGCTTCACACTCGGCTTCCAGCAAAACGCTGGCTCGTCTGCGGGAACCGTCGGCAACGCCCCCGTGCTCTCTCCTCCTCCCGCTGTTGTAACTGGACGTTTTTTAGACCAACTGCAAGGTTAGCGCGCACATGCATTCACGTACCCACAATCTGTGGGCCCACCTGTCTTTTCACGGGCATCCAGCAGGGAATCTTACAAAAAGAGGCTGGGAAACAGCCACCAATGACTTCTCTGCGGGAGGGGCTTTCCAACGTGATCAGCCTCGTCCCAGAGTGTGTGCCTATAAGAGATGCCTTTAATACTTCAGATTCTGGTTCCTTCATTTTCTTGTGACGGGGGGGGGGTGGGGGGCTGAGCTCTCCGGCTGAGTGAGGGGGGGGGTGGGGGGGGGGGGGGGGGGGGGTGATTGGCCAGCCAGTACCACCAATTACAACTCTAAAATTCATTAGTTCATTAAGATTCAGTATATTTTCTATTAAGCTTTTGGCTTAATACTGACTAATACTGAATACTAACTTTTTACTGAAATGTCAGTAAGATCATAGAGAATTCTCCTCCATACGCAGGATATTGACAGATAAATCAGTGCTGGCAGTTCAACGTTCCTTGCCTGAAGACCATTACTACCTCAGGGAAAAGTACCTTTTGAGGCCCAGGAACCAAAAGTTCAACACGGTTACGCTAGTCAAACCTGTCAAATCTGAACGGCCGTGATGCTTCATTATGACAGTGCTATAATAGTGTTGCTGTGTAACGCCACACTATCCTAATTCTTTGCTGTCTAGTAAAGTTGAAAGTAAAAGTTCTCTGAAACAGCCCTTTACTGTATATTTAACACAACAAGCATGCTCTAATGCAAACCTTATCTTTGCCAATGTGAAGGCCTTGCTCTCACTAGATAACAGGTTCTGGCGATATGTTAACAACCATTTATCATATGTCTGCTGCTATGTTCCACCATCCCTGACTTAACAGAAGTTTGCATATGCAGGAGGCCTGGCTGATTAGTATTCTTCGGGGTGCCTACGAACAGACAGGCCCGCGATCAGAATGCAAGGAAGTCCTCTTGCCGGCGGAGGAGGAGTGAGGGTGAGGGGGACAAGACAGCAGAGGCCTGTCTACCATGTAAACAAAGCTTTAAAGATCACATTTACAACGCTGCACCGGGAAGAGGCGGCACCGCAAAGACCACTCTTCTACTTTGTTGGTGGTTAAGATGTGTTCATGGACCTTCTTTTTCAATAGGGTGAACATCAGATAGAACACCCTCCGATTCAATGAAAGAATCAGGATGAAGTTTAGAGTCCGAACAGGTCAAAGAGAAAAGAATAGTGAGTGAGTGAACTGATTGGACAGTAGGAACCAACCCTGTGAAGTCGGAAAAGGTGTAAAGAAAAGTATTTGTAAGCAGCAGCATAAGAATTATGGAGGACTAAAAGTGCCACAATTAAATAAATAAATACACCATTAAATAATTACTTAAATGTGTCATTCATTAATTAAAATTGGAATTAAATAAATAAATGTGTCATTAAATGTGTCATTAATTAATTAAAATACCGATTCATTGTATGTAAAATGCATATATAACTATTTCACTATTTACATTTACATTTCATGATCCTGCGTTGCAGCGCTTCATGAATTACTTAAAACTGTCAAACTGACCCATCAAAGTCAGTGGGCGGGGCTAACGCGAATCTAGTCTGATCCATTGCTTTGGTCTGAAGTACCTGGATAGAAACATGGAGGATCTCCGTGAACTTTCCAGGGAGTTGGTGAGAGACATTTTAAACTTAGCAGGGGATGTAGAAGCAGGACCTGCTGAGTCCGAGCATGTAGCTAGTAAAGCAGAGGAACTTATTGAAGTTGTTGGAGTCATTTCCGCACTTTCTGACGAAGATATCGACCACAGAGTAATTACAAATCTAGAAGAAGTTGTCCACCGCTTCTCTGGTACCAGGGCGCATCAGGCCCAACACACACAGGGACCGGGGCGTTTGCCGTTTGACATACCGAGTGCAGTTCTGGAGCATCAAGTTCTTTGTGGAGTTCCCGCAGTTCAAATCGCAGCGATGTTCGGAGTGTCAAAGAGGACCATCAGGAGGTGCATGCAACAACACAGTTTAAGGTATTTACACTAAATTCATGAGGTTTCTGTTTATCAATTGCTGCTCTCATACACTCTGAAAGAATATGGCGTTTAAGGTAACATTACTTGATGTTGTGTTTTTTTTGTTTCTACAGAAAAACAGATCTCTATTCAGCTGTGAATGATGAGGAATTGGACCATATTGTAAGTGAAATTCACAGAAGTCATCCAAACACCGGCTACAAGCTAATGCGTGGTCACCTGAATGCAAGAGGTGTGCGTGTTCCAAGTGAGTATAATAATATGGGCATTATTTAAATGTATTTTTAATTCGGAGCTCTGCCCTTTTGAAAGGTGAAGGAAGCCCGCTTTTGGAAAGACATCGCCTCTGAGATGTAGAATGTGTATAATAGAAGAGAAACACACATTTCAGGACAGCTGACTTCTATCATCAGGATAGACATGTCCTGTGATTTTTAGCCTCCTGTTTAATAGAGGTGGAACAATATCTGACAGTAATATTCTCAGCTGTCCGGATGTTCCTCCCCTCAGTCTCAAGACTGCAAGAGTCTTTACGCAGAGTAGATGCAGAGGGAGTCTACATGAGACGTCTGAGGCTGCGTGTATTAAGGCGACGGCAGTATTTTGTGCCTGGCCCAAACTCTTTGTGGCATATAGATGGCCACCATAAGCTCATCAGGTCAGTGATATTAGCAGATAAACAATTCATCGTTCTAGATGTTTCATTACAATTGTTTCACAATAAAGTTGTATGTTTTCATGTCTTTGCAACAGGTGGAGATTTGTTGTCCACGGTGGGGTGGATGGATTCAGTCGTTTAGTGGTCTACCTGACTGTGGCTGGCAATAACAGAGCTCATACGGTCTTACAGAGCTTTATCGCCGCTGTCGAGCAGTATGGGCTGCCATCAAGGGTACGGTCTGATAAAGGGGGGGAGAATGCAGATGTAGCAGAATTCATGATCAGAAGCAGAGGTACCGACAGGAATTCACACATCACAGGCAGAAGTGTCCACAATCAGCGGTAAAGAAATATGTTTGGCAACTAGGCTCACACAACTAAAATACCAGTTGAATGTACTTTAGCATATGTCACATAAATTAACAATTTGACAATTTTATCCTAAACACAGAATAGAGAGGATGTGGAGAGATGTTTATGAACATGCCCTGGACCTCTTCTATCAGATCTTTACTTCATTGGAAGATCAGGGAACACTGAATCCAGACAATGAAGTCCATCTTTTCGCTCTGCACTGGATTTTCTTTCCACTGGTTCAGCAAAGCCTAGACTCTTTTCGAGATGCTTGGAACTTTCACGGTCTGAGAACTGAAAGGAATCAGTCACCACAGCAACTCTGGAGACGTTACAGAGAGCAAGGCCCTGAGGAGGATCCTACTGAGGTTAACAATCAACTTTAAACACGTTTCTAAAGTGTTTGCCCAAAAGGAATTATGGGAGGAAAAAAATTGTGCTAAATGTGGTACTTTAAATGGAACATTTACTATATTGTCTTTAAAATCTCCCAAGCTTTTAAAGATCAACCTGTGAGCTGTAGTTTCTACAGTGCATACTACAGCTGTATTATTTCACAAAACTTTAATAACTAACAATTTCTCACTGACTTGGTGACCAAAAATAACAATCTTGTGTTAGGACATGTCAAACTATTTTTAAGTACAAGTTTGATTATGCTTGTCATCTTTTCAGATTCCTGAAGAGTATGGGATCGACTGGAACGGACCTCACAGCCTTCATGGAGGCACTGTGTCAGTCCCCGAGGTTCAGCTGGCCCGTGAGCTCTCAGATGAAGAGGTTGCAATTTTGCCAGCTCCAGGAGTTTCTGTTACTGATGCGCTTAGACTATATGTAGAGACTGTGGAAGTGTTATCAAGAATCTTAGACTGATGTCCGACACGTTTTTATTTTTTGTGTTAGAACAAGCAGTCAAAAACTGAAAGTTTGCTTTCCTTTAAAAAAAAAATATATATATATATGCCGAATAAAAATAAAATAAAAAGTCAACTGCTGCAGTGTGTTAATCAGTTTTCAAAGACACTGAACTTGTGTCTGAAAATACTTAAACAAGCCCAAATCCAGTACTTTTTATAGCAGCGACAAGTGCTTTCTCAAAGTCCATGTAGATCTTGAAATGAGCTGGCAGCTTTAGTGTTTCAAAGCATGTGGAGGACGTAGGAAGGGTTCCCTCAGAAATCACCACTGTCAGTTCAGGAGGAAGCATCTCCCAGCCAACCCAGGATGTCAGCAGCTGGGCCAGGGTACCTGATGAAGCTAAAAGTCATACAATGGATTGAAGACATTTAGTTCAACTTTATTTGATCATATCTATCCATGAGACATAGAAGCATTTTTAAAGAGAAATTAGGTTTATACCCGTTTCAATGAACATCCTTAGAAAGCCAGTGATGCGGCAGGTGGTGTCCAAGTCAAAGTCTTCATCATCACTGTCCTCAACTGGCCATGTGATTTCTTCTAGGAGCATCTTAAAGAAAACAAATTGTAATTTTAAAAAGGGAGATGCAGATCACATTATTGGAAAATGGAAAAATAGCCAGCTCAGTCATGGAAAAAAGACGTAAAATTCATTAAGTTAAGTCACAAATATAACTAAATTACTGACTTACCTGGGGTGTGAACTGCATTTCAGCCATTTTGGGGAAAAGAAGTGGGACAACATCTGGCCTAGATGTCAGCAGGGGCCATACCATCACATCTTTCAGTCCCTTTCTCAACTGTTTAATTTGGCGCATGGTCCTCCCAACGACCTAAGAGACAGACAGACCCATATTACAGCAGAAATCCTTAACCCAAATTTGACAAAAGTTGGCACAGTAGAACAAAATGTTAATAAAAGCACAATAAAGTGTCTTATAAAAACCCATTAAAACTCGAGTACTTAAACTCTTGTGTTAACATTAACAAGCCAGGGTTCAGAATACATTCTATAATTTCAACAAGTACAGCAATGAGTTCTGTCACTTAACCAGCAGGAACTCACTGCATGGAGTAGAAGTTTATTATGTAGCCATCTCCGATTTGTTTTGGTGACTGCCGGAAGATCCCAAGACATGGAAAGATCTGAAACTGTGGCTTTCTGTTCCGGTGTAAGTTCTTCATGTTCAAGCTAGAATAAGGACCATACCATTTATTATATCTGCCCAAGCAATATTTTTTTACATGGCAAATTATCTTTTAGGTTACATACCAGTTCTATGATGCTCCTGATGTGCAGATCAGGACAGTCTTCAATAACAACAGTAGCCATTTCTGGGTCCCCATTGAGCAGTACATGAATTACAGCAGGACTTAATCCTGTAACATGGGGACCGTCATGCAGAAAAGTGTGGGCCAACATCCTTCCTGCAACCCGGAAGAGGTTGCTTTCAATAAGTGCCTCTGATGCTGCTGGAACAAGATGGTCAGGTTCACCCTCAAATAGCAGTGTTCGGCCCATTCCTCCTGTAAAGTACCAAGAGAGCAGGGAATAAAGTCACAACAACTAACCTCTTAAATACATAAAATTACATCATACTAGTGCAGTGTCCGTTGAAAATGTGCCTGTTTGGAACGGGCGATTACTTGGCCTGTGGTATTGCTGCTTGTAGAATTCACTTAAACAAAATTGTAGCCTACTCCAAAATGACTTACAGACCCCAAACCACTTCAAATGCAACCCCCCTGAATATCCTACTACTGACTTACTGATTTACCTGACACAAAACATTGCCCACCGGCCCTCTGCTAAACAGCACATATCTGCGTTCATCAACCACCAGAACGTGTGCGAGTACTTACCAAGATCTAGACTGAATCCAAACTGGAGTTTGGATATGATTGTTGTCATAAAGTACCGCATCACTCCCTCTCCGATAGCAAGATCACCTGAAATAAAATACTGATAATAACACAGTGGAAAAAAGTGGCAGACAAATACGGGTAACTTGATTAGCTAACATTTAACAAGCAAGGGAGAAAAATAGTCAAAATTATATTGGCTGTAATTTAGAACAGCATCCTTAATATTGATTATTCCAGATAAGAGTATATTGTGCACAATATTCACATACATAACATTTTTTATCAATTATATAATTTTGTGCATTCCATTCTCCCATTTTCCAATGGGACAATTCCATATATGCTACTTGAGTGGTATAAACTGTACTGATGTATTTATATTATAAACTTTATATTACTTACCAACCAGAGTACAATGAAGTGGACATGCCCATTCTTGCTGCTGTTTATAGAATAAGAGAAGCTCCCGTTCCCGGTCCTCTTCAGACTCCCTTACATCCATCTTCATTCTAAGCGGTTTCCCAGTTGCATGTTCCCTTAGCAGATTTTCTTTGAAAACTTTGGCAGCTTGAGTGGGTTCCTCAATAATCTTCCATTCTAAACAAACAACAACAAAGTTATCTATTCCAGAGACATATTGTGAGTTGGCATGTTACCTGCATATACAGATACCCTCTCACTCTACACAACAGGAGGAAAATTATGTTATTTCACTGATAAAACGCGGGACCCAATAGCTTAAAAATCTGTCACAACGCCGAGTTGACATAAAAACGTCATTCAACAAAAACTAAATATTAGAAAAATAAAAAAAACAGGTGCATGTTATTAATTGCCTGTAACTATTATCTTATCCAATTCTATATTAAAAGTGTTCGCTTTCTATTGACTTTTCAGTTACACACAATCTTATAGCAACACTATTGTGATGACACATACCACTGTCTGTTTCTTTGCGATCCAACTCCTCGTTGACCATCACTGCTGGAACTACTGCACTCTCAGCTGATGTTTCAGACCTCACTGGAACACTGTCACTGACTAGGGCTGTCTCACTATCATTTTCTTCCCTTTGGCCTCCCTCTTGTTCTCTTTCCTCCATGGGTGTCCTCGAAGTGAACAGAATCGAAATGGTCATACTGGCTTATTTGTGTGCACAACACTCCAAGAGGACATATTCCCAAAGAAAATGAATATGCTACCCTCGCATTGCTTTAGGAAGTACATACCCATTGCAGCTCAATCTGTGCAGCTTCATCTCTGAAAAGGGAACTTCCATCTGACAAGTGATGCAGGGGATGACTGGACCAGAGGCAGGACGTGAGCTCTCCTAACAACAAATGGCTTTTAATTAATGATTAAAAGTCACCAGTAATCTTTGTTTTGATTATGTATTAAACTAGGTCTCTGTAAATTTATGTACACAATCTAAGAGGGTAGATCCTGTTGAAGTGGACGTATGTAGATTGTAGCCTGCCCAATCATCGTCGATGGATCTTTCAGATAGGCAAGGGTGTATCCAGTGCTGGGACACTGAAGCAATGCAAGATTTCGACTGAGAGTAGATCCTAAAAGTTTTAGAAGTTCAAAGCCTCCCCCTTGTTGGAGCTTCGGAAACACTTCAATCAGTTTATTTGTTATAACCATGGGATCGTGGTCATTCCCTGGAGAAAAATAAAACAAAATCATAACTCACCTCACCTTAAACCTTTAAAACAAAGCAAATAAGCCTGTGATAACTATTATTCACAGTATTAAAATGAATTACGTTTGAGTCACTATACAATTAAATGCAAATAATTTCAATGAACACAATTTGTTTTGTTTTGGTAAATGCCTAGTTTCGCACTGACCTGAAAATGTTACTTTTTGCTCTCCAAGTCCTGAATGAGGAAGTTCAGCTATAACCAGTACGCTTGGAATTTTATCCGCATTGTGGTCAGCCAAACAACAGACAGTATGTGTGTAGCTTCTTCGGCTAACTTGGACTTGTGCTGGTCGTCTCGTCATATTCCTTCTGGCTCCAATGTTGTATGGCGCAAAGAGCCTTGCTACCTCCGCTGCAACACAGAAAAACGTCACCGCTCAATGGTCACCAGTCAGCTAAAACAGTCTCTACTTCTATCTTGGGATGCTCAAACCAGCTAACACCATTAGCTAACTAGCGGGTTTTATGCTCCACCAATTAACAACGAACGTGTCGCGCACGAAACATCATAATACCACATACAAATACATTTTCGAGGCGATCTAATTTAACCCACACGTGTGTCCCGAATCATTAATGAGTAGCACACCTGGCTAACATGAAATTACTTAGCTTACCTTGGACAGGTGTACGTGATTGAGCGGCCGGTATCTGCTGTGACTGAGCCGCCGGAGCCGTTGGACTTCTGCTCAGAGCTTCCTCAATCAAATTCGCTGCTTCTCTCAGCAGCTCCGGGCAACTTTTTGACATTTTGTCCTGCACCTCGCACGGCGTCTGCGTCCTTGGTCATTGGGGCTAGCAGGACCGCGTCATCTCCTTGATTTTTAGCCGTTGCAATGAAAGTTCTGTTTAACAGCGTATCCAAACCAACGTAGAGGTGAATAGCGTCACCCAGTGTATTGGAATGTGTTCAGTAGCTCTGCAGCGATCCATTATCTGGAATTGATTTGTCTTGACTTGATGCACAGGGTAACCAATCAGGCGTTATGTTCCGCCTACCAACTTTTGATGGGTCAGTTTGACAGTTTTAAGTAATTCATGAAGCGCTGCAACGCAGGATCATGAAATGTAAATGTAAATAGTGAAATAGTTATATATGCATTTTACATACAATGAATCGGTATTTTAATTAATTAATGACCCATTTAATGACACATTTATTTATTTAATTCCAATTTTAATTAATGAATGACACATTTAAGTAATTATTTAATGGTGTATTTATTTATTTAATTGTGGCACTTTTAGTCCTCCATAAAGAATTAGTGACACAGGTAAAATGAACAGATGGCATTTGCAATCTTGCTCTGTCTTTCAGCCCAAATTCAAAAGCTAATTGACTATTTGTTTCATACTAATCAAAATCGTAATTGTTTTCATTAGAACACCACATTGTTTGTTAATATTGCAAAAATCCTTTTTTGTTAATAATTTAAGCCCCAAGTACATCCAGACTACAACACAATTCACGCCAATAGTTATTAAATGTCAAATAGATTTTGTGAATTTGGTTTCGGATTTCAAGAGAGAAAAACACTCAACCTTTATTTCATTGTTTAAATTAAATTACAGTATAGGAAGCTGGCGACTTTGTCCTATAAAGCTAGACACTTGTCCATCCTTAATGTCATTTATCATATTCCCCCAGGGGTTCCCGCTGCTCGCCCTCTAGTACATCTTCTGCATCTCTCTCCCTGCACACTAAACAACCTCTTTTTGTGTTCCATGTCGCTGCATGGCCTGGGCTTTTCAGACCTGATGGATAAGGGCCCAATAAGAGTCGACTGGGCACCGATAAAAGAATGGCAGACAGGAGCGAGTGTGGGCTGCAGCCAATTGAGCCCTCTAGAGGAATAATTTACAGCTCTGCCAAAGTTGATTTCCCTTACTACCCCCAAAAGCACTCGGAGGCCGTAGCACCGTAGCTCACTGTTAGATAGCCGAGTACAACAACACACAATAGCACACAAAGGAGCAGAGAAGCCTGAGGGAAAGCAGTCGTTTCAATTATTGAACATTTATGATAAAGTGGAATGGTGGCGATGGGGGCGTTGGGTAGTGTGTGGCTCAGGGAGTGAACCAAACCACACTGTTGAGCCACGCATTACTCCAAACCACAAATGTTCAGTTTTCAATGCAAAAACAGAGCAAAGAAGAAAAAACAACACATTTGATAAGCTTGAATCAGCTAATGGCTGGAATTGTTAAACTAAGAAATCACTTCAAGGAATACGTTGGTTGTAGATTCATTTTGACCGCTGACAGTGTATCACGGGAAGAACGGTTGTGCACTTTAACTGCACGTTAGGTAATTGAGATCAGTGGGCATTGCAGTTGTTTATGTGAGCGGCTACAACGTACTAAACACCTCAATGAACGTCATTTGTTCCACATAAAAGATCTAAAGAAAGTACACAAACTTCTCTCTCTCTCTCTCTGGAGACTCGGAGTATGCCTTTTCTTTTCACAAGTAAACAACTCTTAACTGTGAACAACATGCTCAACGTGTCAGATTCATATTTCGCTTTAACAAAACTACAAAGCAATCTGCCATTCAGCCACGACGGCTTTGAATAGGCGGAGAGAGACATGCTTGTTTGTTTGAAGTTTGGTTCAAAAAAAGTTTGACCGACACAACAGCATCTCGGTTGGAGCCGTGTTGGTACTGACAGGGAAATGACTGTGTGTGTGTGTGTGTGTTAGAGGGGGTAGGGAACAATTCAAACCCGTTATTCATGTCTGTTTGCAAAAAAATGGTTTAAGTAGAGAGGACCCAAATGTTATTACCTTCCTTTGTTCCACCCCTCCCCTCCCCACCCACTGCCCGCCACCCACACAAGAACACACACACGAATTTCCCCAAATTCAGTGAAGCATGGAGCAATCCTTCTTTCAGCCCCTTTATTCCTGGGAAAAGCTTATGGGTCTTAATTGCATTACTGGGAGGCATCAGGGGTCAGAAGCAGCGTTCAAACCTGGTGGAGGCGGAACAGAAATGGAATTCCCGTTTAACAGAAGAGCAGAATAATCCCTCGCTGACAGTCTGGACGTCATCTCTGCCTTTCGCTCTCCTTTTACGACTTATTCAGTCTTTTTTTTCTCTCGACATTTAATTTCCATCTCAGCACCACTGTGCAAACCATACCAAATTAGAATGGTTGGATGTAAACACCAAATGTGATTAAATTGTCTTAACCCTGACATGTTCTCGAAATGGAAACATCGTGTAGTAAATGAAGAAAAATTATACAATTAAAACAAAGTGGAAAGGAACTTAAAAAAAAATAATTGTGGATTGACAACATCAGCAGAAGGAATTGTTTAATTTAATTAAGAGTAAGAATTTAAAATAGTCTTATATCTAAAATCCCATCCAAAACCCCCCGAAAACTTGGTCTTATGCATGTTTCAATTACCCATTGTATATAACATGTTTCTTTTCATATTACCTACCCACCTACAGTTAGGTTTAAAAGGAAAAATGAATCCTTCTGTAAAAAGACTGTATGTTCATGTCAAATTTGGATCTTTGGATTATCATTTTTCAGGGTGAAATCATGAGCTGACATCCCTGCATGTTGAGGGTTAGTGTGTGAAAGTACCTTTTCCCCACAAAGAAAACACTCAATACCAAAAAAAAAATATTTCAGAAATTTGGCTACTGTCAAAAAGTGGAATGGAAGGTCAACCTTGTGTTTGTGGAGCTACGTCATGCGAGGGATGAAGTAAGGGAGAAAAAAAGGGAGATGCGGTAAAAAAAAAAAAAGTGAGTTAGAAAATTGGTGGACAAGTGAGTGAAAAGGATGTGGAGGGCTGAACTGAGATCCTCGCCTTTTACACAACACAGGGTGGGCATTGTTCAGACCAAAGGCCTTTAAAGAGGTGTCACGTCCCCCCTCCCTCCCCCCCACACCTCCCACCCCACACAGGGTGACAACTATAGGCTTGAACTCTTGATTAATGCTTGCCCCTTTCTGTCCCTAACATGGACCCTGGACTTTATAAAGGCCTCCTCCCCATCACTTAGACCAGGCACACACACACACACACACACACACGCACACGCACACGCGCACGCGCACCAACATTTTGGCAGGCGAGCACAAACAAGTCGAAACGATGTAGTTTTAAAAGCTGGACAAGCCACGACTGGGCAGTAAGGACCGACGCTGAACAAAACCCGGCAGCAGGAGTTACGAGAGAAAAGCCCCTGACGACGCCTCAACAAGGCATCCGTGTTCTTCGGTCCTGGGGAGGGCCTCCTTTCACGTCACTGCCTGAAAAAACTGCTTGTGTGGATCCCAAACATATTTTGCGATTAACATTCAACATTTAAAAAATATCACTATAAGATCATATTACACTTCAGCACTCTCCATGGAAGTTCTTTACCCCCCCCAGCGGTAGCAGAGCGTTGGGGAAGCTCGGGTAATGAGGGTTTGCAGGGGCCTAAACGACACCACAAGAGAAAGATTAGTAGGGCGAGAAAGGTGGGAGATCACGCTAGTGATGAGCGCAGCAGAAAAATCTAAAGTTAGGAGGTCCCTTAGATGAAGAACTTTCCAATTATCTACTGATCAGATGTGAGCAGCGACAGGACAGTTTGCAGGGAGGGAGGAGAAGAAAAGAAATGAATCCTTTCATCCGTGAAGGGGCTTTTCTTTACTTTCTGCTGATCTCAACCACTGGAATAAAAGTGAGGATGAGAGGATGACAGAA